AAAAGATGACAAAATTTAAAAAAGTGACACAATGTCACTTTTATAAAATTGAAGAGCAACTTTGACATCCTTGGATGGTACTGCACAAAATAAGTAAGTGACACAATCTCACTTTTACAAAAAAGTGATTTTGTTAGTCAAAAAATGACAAACAATAAAAAAATATGATAGAAAAAGTGGCAAACACTAAAAAAGTGACATGAATTCAAAAAAAAAGTAAGAAAAAGTTTTAAAAAACTGCAAACATGCGAAAAAGTGACAAAACATCAATCGAAAACATTCGAAAAAATAACAAAACACCAATCGAAAAAGTACAAACCATTCATTCACCACTCTTCTTCTCACAAAATCTTACAAACAATCATAACCCACAATTTTCAGCTCCAAAATAAGATTAAATCACACAAACTTATCTTCTAAACAATTATACAAGAATTGAGTTACTGTCCACCAAGAAATACATAGCATCAAGAACACCTTCGAAGCAAAAAAGGACAACATGCAAAACACTATAATCTAGCACCACTTTTTACGAGCTTCCTCAAGCATCACAAGGGGAAAGCTGGCATAACTTGGACTTGATCTCTCATAAGGAAGCTGATAAGACTAGAATGATGAAATAATTGACAGAGCTACCTGCTGTTGAAGTTTCCACCCATTCCACCTTAAATATGACTGCTGTAACTTCCATGGAACCTGTCATAAAAGGACAAATTTATTAATTAGGAACTTTAATTTTGAACAAAAACAAACATATACACAATATTGCCCTGGACATTCTACAAACACCATCGATATACTTAGTATTTTTCCTAATAAATTCGTGATCATTTTTAATATCACTTTTTAATTAAAAAAATGACGTAAAAAGGTGACAAAAATTAAAAAAAATAACAAACAATAAAAAAAGGTAATAGGAAAAAGTGACAAAAACTTAAAAAGTAACATGAATTTAAAAAAGTGACAAACGTTCAAAAAAATGACAAAAAGTTAAAAAAACTACAAACATTTGAAAAAGTGACAAAACACCTAGTTTGTTATAGAAATAAACATGTAATGACAAGAAACCTATTGGATTTGGAAAAGTGACAAAACACATAATTTAGTGTCATCATTGCATACAACAAAAGAGAAGTGTATAAAGGCCTCACAGAAGTTCTAGATAAAGAGCTGACAACATATTAGTACCATAAATGAAAAAATGAAATTGCTCTAATAAAATTACATCAGTTTATCAGACTATCCAATGCTTTCTACTTCAGCAAAACCCAGTTTCAAATTTCTGTAGCTTGACAAAGACTATCAAGATATGTTAAGCCATATACTTATCAGCCAAATTACCTGCTTTCACTTTAAATTGTGAACGAGAAAGACCTAAGTGATGTTTAATAGTGAAACTTTAAGCCAAATATCAAAGTCCAAATTTACAATATAGGCGAAGCAAAACCTTAGACACGCATCAGAGCACAAAATAACTGTAAACAAAAAAAGCCCTGCATCTCCATGAGTAGTAAGATCAGTAACACACAGAGGAAGATAGCAAACTTCCACCACAAGTAGCAAGAAGAACGCAAGACATATGCAAACATTCATATACATAGTTTTAGATATGAAGATAGATCAACGAAAAGACAAAATTAAACTACAAAAAAGAAACTCACGTCATTTCCGACCTCTAATTTTTTCTGACCTTGTAAAATCAGCTACAACAAAGCTTGATTAAATGTAACCAAAACAGAACACACAAAATACGGGGCCAGAAATGAATGTAAGAAAAAAACATCTCCGTAGCACTTTCAAAACATTCCACTTTCTTGATGAACCTCAATAGATTTATCGGTGAAAATAAATATCTAACTGGCATATAAACATCCAAGTCATCTTGAGCTAACATGAACATCCAAAGCATGGAAAATAAAAGATTATATTAGGAAATGCAAATTACGTCACGCTGACTACCATAAGAATTAAGTATTCTCTTGGTAAAATCGATGCCATTGATGCCACGAAATGCAAATATCACTCCATCAGCTCCAATGCCAAAGTTTCTATCATAGAATTTCATAGCTTGCTCTAGAGTACTTTTAGGCTCCACTGAATCTCGATTATCAAACTTATAAAATCGACAAACCATAAATGTCAAAAATCCCATATTGTCAATTTTAAATTGTCTAAGTTTCCCATAAATCGTCGGACATAATTTATGCATACAAGTAAACACAGATAAAAACGTACACACCCAAATATTCAGGTTATGCAAAACTTACGAGTATGAAATCATTTCCGAGTCCATGACGAAGTGAAGAACAACACTTTCTCTACGATCGAGTAGCGAATCGAGAGAAAATTTCTCAGGAGTCCAAATGCCCATTGAAGTAAAAATGCGGGAATTAGGTTTCCAAGTAGTGGAAATTGGAAGCATTTGGTGAATGTCTGATTGAAGGCAAAACAAAGAAGAGAATCGAGAGGAATTGAAAGAAGAATATGAAAAGGAGTAACGATTAAATGTGGCGAACGGCAGCGGCTATTGCCATTGGTATCGGCAAATTGAAGGAAAGAAAGACGGAAAGAAAGAACCATTGAAGTCAAACTGGAGTTATTAACAAGGAACGTATTTTATACTCTTTATTTATAAAGCACTCAAATCACTTGGAAGATTAAACAGGCTGACTCGGTTAATTGGTGATTTATTCTAGACAACCCATTTATGCAGGCTTACTCGGTGTAACCTAGTTGCCCATTATTTAAGGGACTTGTTCCTTCGGCTTTTGCATACTAGACACGGTTTTCCACCTTTGGTAATAAACAGGCTGCCTGTGTATTGCTTTGTGCTTACCCGTGCCTGTGTCTATATTTTCTGCCCGATTCTTGCTCCTCTGTGAATCCTCTATTTTCTGCCCGGTTCTTGCTCCTACTCCATCCATCCCTTTGTGGAACCCTTAGTGAACTGTTTGGATTTGGTCTTTTGGTCCGATTTGTTGTGTTACCTTTGTGAAGATTGACTTATGATCTGAACCCCTAATTTACACCACCATTGCCAAGCATATTGGAGATTTCGTTTATCAATATGGTTTCTTCAATTTCCTGGTATTTGCTTTCCAATTCTTGTTTTAGTGTGTTCTTTGTGATTTTGCATAGTTTAAAAAAAATCAACAGATAATAAGAACTGAATGTAACTTAGACGGTAAAATGCAAGATAAACGAGAATTTGTATTAATTTTTTTGTCTAAAAACAAATAGCAATAAAGGAAAGCTTATATACTAATTACAAATCAAACTTATGTAGAAATAATCGTGCAGATCTCGGAAATATCACAATATAATGGAATATGATCCTAAGGAAGTATAACATGTTCAAAAAAATAAAAATAAAAATAAAAATTCTTCAATCATCTGTTGTTTGGTGATGAGGAAGCCGCTGTTGCTGCCAATGTCTAATCTGCAGCTGCAAATTTTCCAAACACAATGAAAATATAACAAAGCCACTGGAAGAAATCTACATGACACATTTTAGAGACAAGATTAAGAGCAAGAATTAAGGAAATCAACTAGATACTACGTTAATCAGCAATAAAGACGGTTCTAATTCATTCTATGGGCCGCATTCACCTTTTTTTGCTATTCTTTTTATGCGATTCACCCTAAAAGATGATACCAAAAATTCTGTCACTATTCGTGTGTGTGACCAGCTTTCTGCAGTCCATCATTGAGAGTTCTAGACTTATGCCTCAGACACTTGAACTTCTAAAATGGATTTCAGACTTTAAGAATCTCTATTTTAAACTTCTGAAATCGATGTTTGAACTCT